CAGTGATAGTCTGGTGTAATCATAAATTTGCTTCGGGTGTTTTGTGGAGTGGGTAAGACTGATTTTAGTGATAGGCTAACTATGGCCATTGACATGCACTAGCCTAGCACCAGCGACCTCTGCAAATACAAGGACTTTATGGAATATTTAAAAAAGTTTCTCCACATGTCTCCAATACTCTGGCTCACTAGGAAATGAGGTCCTAGGTCCAAAATTCCAGACTGTCTCTTTAAAGGATTACTCAAACGTGCGTGAATGAAACAAAGCACAACTCCATGTATGTTTTTGAAGAGATAAGAACATTCTAATGTCTAAATGTCTTTAAACTCAAAAGAGTCAGTTTTGCATAATATAGGACATGTAACACAAGCTGAGTGGGACATTTATATTGTATTATTGTTTTATTTTATTGTGTTTTTGTATGTATTATATTGCACTTTATATTACCTCTGTATAGCACTTTGGGAAGCTGTGTTTTAAATGTGCTTTATAAATACACCTGACTTTGCATACTGACCTTGTGTCTTTTAGCAGTACACTTCACCCACCTGTTGACATGGCTGTGATAGTGATAAAAAGTATTTATGATAGTGGTCAGAGGTTGCTGGCTCAGTACCGGGGCAATGGAGGGTATCGTATCTCCAGGCAGTAAAAGTACATGGGCTGAATGAATAATGGACCCATGTAAAGTGTATTGTGCAAGAACCTATAAATATTTTTCAACCAAGAGACACTTTAGCAGAGACTGACAAAATGGTGTGGTGCAATCAAAAGAGACAAGACTGTTCCTGATTTTGAGCAATTTGTGAACATGTCTGGCAACTTGGACGTGTACTTTTTAAATCAACAGTGACACAAATGAGGGCCTCTTGGACTTGTGGTGTTTCATAGTTTTGGTCGGCTGTGTTGAAAAGGAAAGTAAAAATGAAAAATTGGTTGTGTTTTTCAGGCAAAGCAATAGCATCACCATGGAGACAAGCAGGTGGCAGATACTACACCAGAAAAGTTACATAGTACACCTTTAAACAAGAAATAGAATTGTTATGTCCAAATAATGGTCCTATATAATGCAAAGTTGACTCTTGTGACCTTTTAGCCAAGTTATAATGTTGTTACCTCATCAAAAACAGACCTGGAGTGTGTTTTTGCTTCATTCACACGTTAGAGCAGGGGTCACCAAACTTTTTTTTCTCTGGGGGCCACATTATCGCTCCTGACTGTCGGGGTCGTGTCGGCCGTATAACAGAATTGTATGACCCTGACGACGCAGATTTTATTCTTTGAAAACCGCCACACTTTCTTTACATATCAGACAAACTACACGGTCCTTACACTGAACAAAAACATAATAGGTCATCCACTGTTCTTTGAAAACTTGGCACTCTCTGTCAACTTACTGTACTTTAACACAAGTCATTTTGCTGTCCTTAACTGCACTACAGAACAGCACATGCACTGACTGTCACTGTTTGATCTCGAGCTTGTCAGCAAATGTAAATACGTTATATACAAATTTTAAAATAAAAATAAATACTTCATATAAATACATATTTTTTAATAGAAAAAAAATCTACAAAATACAAGATTCAGACATGTTATTATTTGTCAAAAAAATATAAAAAAAATAGGCCATGACAACTTTTGAGGATTGCCTCATAGGCCCAGTTCACCTGGTGAGGGGCAGAGGGGCTAGCCTGATTCATCAGCTGGTTTCACTTCATCTGACCTCGCAGCATTAGGATTCGTTCGCTCAACGGTAGGCAGGTACTTTTTTTATTTAACCTATCGACTCTATTTGGTTGTGACATATGTAATGCTAACTAGTATATTAAGCTTTTCCTAAATGCCGTAGGAAGAAGGGCAATAACGTCTTTCCCCTTGATAAAATTCACCAAACATTCTCTTTGTTCCGACTTTAAATCCTCAATCTCAGGAATCCTTGCCAACACAGATGTACGGCTCTTCACTGATTGGCTTCCCGAACTCACACTTCCAGGGTTCTTGCAAACCGTCTAGTGTGTTTTGATTCCTGACCTTGTCACTGGAGAGAAATTAAATTGAGCAGAGGCACTAAGTGACGCCAGCCTGGCTACAGAGGGGCTGGAGAGTCGGTCAAAGGGGCGTGGAGTCAGACCGCGGGCCTTAGTTTGATGACCCCCGTGTTAGAGTAACCTTTTATTATTAGCTTGTCTACATCTCCGAAGCTCAAAATGCTCTACCTTGTTCTACCTTGTGATAAAGCAGTAGTTTTCAAGTTCAACAACTCCTTTTACCTTTTGTTCAGTAGAGATTAGAAATTCCATGGCATCACAAGGTGGAGTGATTTTAGTTTGAGAGAAGAATTTAGGATTTGCAGGGTTTGTGTGTTAAACATGTGTGAATGAAACAAAACACAACTCCAAGGCTGTTTTTGATTAGGAAACAACATTATAGATCAGAAAATAGCATCATATGGAGCCTTTACATTGTAACATTTCTGGTGGACAGTCCGCTGCCTATTTACGTCCATGATGACGTTCTTGTTTTGAGTGAAAAGTTTCACAGTGCACAATTAAAAAGCCTGAGTTCTTTATCTTTAATTATACCCAGTTCTCATTACAGTAACAATTAAACAAATCATTATAGATATACATGGGGCTGTTCCTCTGCTGCTGTCACCCTCTAGATCTCTTTTGTTAAACCACACCACTGTTTACTCATTATATCATTTTGCAAGATTCATTTTTAATTACTTTATATTCCTCGATGCGTCTGAGCTTCCTTTGATTTCGCAGGAAGCCGCAGACAGAGAACGTAGCGTGCGAGGGGGGAGAGAAAGTCTTTCGGATGGCGTTTGAAGTTGTTTGTAGCCGCTCGATCTGAACCATCTTCAGATCCAGAACATAGAAATTCATGAATTATTTTTTTTCCGATTTCTAGCATCGCAAAACCTCTATTCCTCAGGCTGACAGCTTATTTAAACAGGACCTCGGATTTAACTTTCACTTTTCAACTCATTTCTTCAACTGCTATTCAACTGCATTTACACTGACAATTGGTACATGCATAATTCATTTTTCCACGTTGTTGTTCGTCTAAATATTGAAAATCCCGTTATTTATTTCCAAGATGTTTTGTTGAAAATTTCCAGGATAGACTTTGAGCTGGTGAACAGTGTTTTGCAGTACAGTTTGAGATGATGACATTATGAGAAATACAGCCAATTTAGGAATTTTATGACATCGGCAAGAAATAAGTCAGGCTACATCAAAACATTTTTAAATAAGAACTTTCAACCGTCTTCCTGACTATGTTCAAATCCTCACACAACTTTTGGGATGTTTTGAAAGCCTTTACTTTGATCCAGAAATCTGAAATTGGGTAAACTGGGAATTCCCAACCAGTAAACTGTTTCGGAAATTGTTGCATCTAAATTATATATTTGTGTTTTGTTATTATTAATTATGAATACACTACAAATATTGGATCATTTTTTATTAAAGGGTCCATATTACACCATTTTCTGATCCATGTTATAATGTTGTTTCCTCATCACAAATATACCTGGAGTTATCAGATGTAGAGAAGAGGTAGAGCGCTTCACTGGGTCATAAAAAAGTCAAAAGTAGCAGTGCAGGTGCTCTACGAGGTCTGAACTTGAAATCTTTACAGAAATCGTACTGAAAAGTGTAAAAGTGAGCAAGGTACAAACCCGAGGCACACTGACTGAATATATTAAAATTCCTTTATTACATGGAGGGAGGCCAACACGTTTGAGACAGAGCGAGACACAGCAAGACATTTTTAGCACAAAAATTCTGCATATTTAGGCTGAGAAAACACTCTGCTCCACCTTGTAATGTCATGTGGTGCAACAAATCAGAGGTGGGACCAAGTCTTTGTTTTGCAAGTTTCAAATAAGTCTCAAGTTTTTGTCCTCAAGTCCAAGTCAAGTCCTCAGTCAAATACAGGCAAGACCAAGTCGAGTCTCGAGTCACTGGCCCATGAGTCCAAATCAAGTCCAAGTCATCTGCTTTGAGCTTCAAATCATTTCCATTAACCAAAGTACCTAATATAGCTTTAGTTTTTGCAATTTTTATGATTTTAAAACTAAATTGTACTTAAAAAGTCATGGTATATTTATATATGAGTGTTTATATAAGAGTTGTAGAAATGCAAATTTTTCCTTTTTAAATGTCTTGACAAGATCTTAGTGTGAATCATAACGGTCAGAACAGAAAGAATTCAGATTTATGCTTAATAAGAGTAATTCTGTCATTGTCTGCACAGAAATGGAAGGTTCATGTCCTTTGTAGTTCTCGCTGATATATTGTATTGTACTGTATATTATTGTATTGTACTGTATATTATTGTATTGTACTGTATATTACTCTACTGTAGTACATTTGAGGATACCATGTCACAGTACTTCAGTTACACTCAAAGTAACAAACACAGAAGTGGGAGGGTCATGTTCCGGTTTGTTCTTCCTGTAAAATGAAACACCACATTTATCAACGGCAAAAAGAAAAGTATTTTCTAAAAACATATATTTTTTAAAAGAAGCATCTAGTCTTCTCAAGTCACAGCGTGAGTCCAAGTCACGTCCCAAGTCACTGACGTTCAAGTTCAAGTCGAGTCCCAAGTCTTAGTCAGTTTTATCAAGTGAAGTCTCAAGTTCTAAAAATAGTGACACAAGTGTGATTTGAGTCCAAGTCACAATTTGCAAGTCCACACCTCTGTTTTTTAAACTCCATACACCTTCACTAGAATAAATTTGATCATTTTAGCTCTGGAAATCAGTACGAAGTAGCTGTTAACTTGAAAACTACAAGCATTTTGAGCTTTGGAGATGTAGACAGACTAATAAGAAAGGATTACTTAAACATGTGAATGAAACAAAACACAACTGCAGGTATGTTTTTGACGAAATAATGTTCTAACATGGCATAAAGCTCACAAGAATCCATTTTGTGTAATAAATTTTAGGTTTACATTGTGTTCCATTGTGTGTTTTTCAGGGTGACGGTGACTGCTGCCTGTAACATGGACTTCAGCCGCTTCCCTCTGGACTCTCAGACCTGTTCTCTGGAGCTCGAGAGCTGTGAGTCAAGATAAACTTCTCTCTCTCTTTCCCCCTCTCGCTTTCCCTTCTCCCTCCCTCCTCTCCCCTCACTCTACCTTCTCTCCTCTCTCTTGTCCACCCTCTCTTTTATCCTCTTCACTTTCTCGCTTTCTCTCTCACTTCTCCGCCCCGACTTCTCTCTCTCGACCGCACTTTATCTGTCTCTCCTTCTCCCTTCATCTTTCTGCCCCATCTCTCTTTCATTCTTCTCTCTTTCTATCCCCCGTCTCACTCCCCTCACTCCTTCCTCTCTCTTCTTCAGCCTGTCTTTCACCAGTCTCTCCCGTTTCAGTCCCCTCTCCATTATTTTCCTCTACCTACGTTCTCTTTCTCACATCACTTCTCCTTATCTCCCTCTCCTTCTCTCTCTCTCTCCTTAATGGCCATAACACCCCATCATCCTCCTCCCCAGTCCTCTTTCGTCTCAGAGTCCTGTGAAAGTCCTATCATCTCTTTATTTTGCCGTTTCAGTTTGGTATTGACGGTGACAGAACTCAGCGTGCTTAGTGCCCTGAGAGGTGACCCTGACCACAGACACTGGATCAGACCAGTTCGAGACGATTAAAGCTGCTCTGTCTGATTTTTTACTGTCTGAAAAACGACCAAAACAGAACGTGTTCATTTTCGACAGTTTGCAGTTGTCCAAAGTTGTTCCTGCGCTTACCTTTTATGCATTCAGAGCGCCCTAATTATTCACAGCGATGAGTTTTTAACCGCTTTTCGCAACGGAGTCAAGTGGAGCAGTGACGTAACTCTAACAGCAACTACCATTCTAACACACACTTCCTGATTATCAAACAGTTAAGCAGACAGCAGACTTATTTTGACCGCATTAAGTCAATACAATATATCTGTACTGGGACATTTTTCTTTTCGATTGTCTACAAGTCATTTTAAATTCTGAAATGTCAAACTCAAACCTGATTTTTTTTCATGTGTTTGAGCAAAATGAGTCTTCATCAAGTACAGATAAATTGTAGGGTAACAATAACCGGAATATCGTGATATCGTATCGTCAAAGTTCTCACAAATAATATCGTGGACCATCACAATATATCGAATTCTAAGTCTCTTTGCTTAAATGAAGAGTTATGGTGTAGCAGTAGCTAAAAAAAAGAGGGAACTACATAGACCATGATCCTTTGCTCTATTTCAGTGCAGACTACAAGAAGAAATAACAGTTCTAAGCACTTTTAAGTCTTAGTTCTTTGGATTAAGTCTTGTCAAGGCGTTTTAAGAGGAAAAAGTAGCATATTAACAGTTTTAGCTGTTTAGCCTCCACAAAATATCATCGTAAATATTGTACCGTGAGCTGTATATCGTGAAAATATCGTACAGAGAGATTTGGATATTGTTACATCCCTAATCGTGAGCCTCCCCACCATATCGTGAGCTTTCCTACGATATCGCAATAAATATCGTACAGTGAGACCGGGATATTGTTACATCAGCAGCTCTTGAGGACAAAAAAATCTGCGTCTAATTAAAAAGCATTTATGGCCAACCGCCACTTTTAAAATGAAGTACTTTTTAAGACAATAAAATCAGGTACGGAATCTTTAATGTGACTTTTTTTTTTTTCCATAAGGTTGAAGTGGCTGCATTCACATGATGTCAAGCCATTCTGAAGGACGTAACATTAAAACAGATAAGACGTTTTCATTCATTACTTCCTGCGCATGTCAAAGGTGTCAATAATAATATTTTTTTTTAAAATCACATTATAAAGTACTGGAGGCACAATGAAACTTTGAAATAAAAAAGTGCATTTCAATGAGTCAGCCGCTCTGTGTGGGAGACCGACCTTTACCTTCAAGTGAATTTTTGTTTCACGACGTTTACAGCAATGCTTCACCATCTTTCTTTCTCTCTCTCTCTCTCTCTGTCTGTCTCTCTTTCTCATCTCCTGCTCTCTCTTTTTCTTTTTCCTCTCTCTCCATGTCTCTTTCTTTCTGTTTCCTCTCTCTTCCTTTCTTTCTCCCATTCTTTCTCTTTATCTCTCTCTCTCCCTCTCTCTTTTTTCTTTCACTCCTTCCCCTCCCCTTTCTCTCTTTATCTCTCTCTCTTTGTCTGTTCCATCTCTCTGTCTCTCCTTCTTTCTCTCTTTATCCCTTTCTCTCTATGTCGCTCCATTCCCCTCTCTCTCTCCCTCTCTATTTCTCTCTCTCTCCACTCCCCTTTCTCTCTTTATCACCCCCCCTTAACTCTCTTGCTCTCTCTCTCTCTGATCCCTCTCTCCCTCTCTCTTTTTGTCTGTCTTGCTGTCTCTCTCGCTTTCTCAGGTCCCTCTCTCTCTTTATCTCACTCGCTCTCTCTCTCTCTCTCTCTCCCTCTCTCTGTCTTTATCATCCTCTCTCTCCCCGTGTCTCTCTCCACTCCTCTCGCTCCCTCTCTTTAACTCTCTTGCTCTCTCTCTCTCTCTCTCTGTTCCATCTCTCTGTCTGTCTCTCCCTACGTCTCTTCTCTCTTCACTCCTCTTTCTCCCTCTCTTTATCTTTTCCGCTCTCTGGCTGTCTCGTTCTCGGGTCCCTCTCTCCCTCTCTCTCTTTATCTCTCTCTCTCTCTCTCTTTCTCTGGTCCCTCTCTCTGTCTGTCTCTCCCCATGTCTGTTCTCTCTCTCCACTCCTCTCCCTCTCTCTCTTTATCGCTCTCTGTCTCTCTCTTTCTCTGTTCCCTCTCTCTCTCTCTCTCTCATCCCTCTCTCTCTCATCCCTCTCTCTGTCTGTCTCTCCCCATGTCTCTCTCTCTCTCCACTCCTCTCTCTCCCTCTCTCTATCTCTCTCGTTCGCTCTCTCCTCTCCCCTCTCTCTCTTTATCATCCTCTCTCCCCATGTCTCTCTCCACTCCTCTCGCTCCCTCTCTTTATCTCTCTCTCTCTTTCTCTGTTCCCTCTCTCTGTCTGTCTCTCCCTACGTCTCTTCTCTCTTCACTCCTCTTTCTCCCTCTCTTTATCTTTTCCACTCTCTGGCTCTCTCGTTCTTGGGTCCCTCTCTCTCTCTTTATCTCTCTCATGCTCTCTCTTTCTCTAGTCCCTCTCTCCCTCTCTCTCTTTATCTCTCTCTCTCTCTCTTTCTCTGGTCCCTCTCTCTGTCTGTCTCTCCCCATTTCTCTTCTCTCTCTCTCCACTCCTTTCCCTCTTTATCTTTATCGCGCCTTCTCTTTCTCTGGTCCCTCTCTCTCTTTTTATCTCTCTCTTGCGCTCTCTTTCTCTGTTCCATTTCTCTGTCTCTCTCTCTCTCCCTCTCTCTCTTTATCTCTCTCTGTCTCTGTCCCCTCTCTCTGCCTCGCTCTCTCTCTCTTTCCCTTTCCTTCCCTCTCTCTCCACTTCTTCTCTCTCTTGTTTCTCTCTCCTCCGTGTGTCTTCACCCAGCCTCAGTAAAGTGCTTATAGAGCCATAAAAGAAAGGCTTCTCTTTTAAGGTAAAGGGCAAAGTTGATGTGAATATGGCCATCGCCGCCACATCTTCACTTTATGAAACTGCATTTACAGATGTGTATGTCTGCTTCTTATGGATTTGACTGCTTTCCTGCTTTTATTCTTACCACAGGAACCATATTCTGATTTTAAATATAATAAACGTGAATCATTTGTGACCCCGGATACAAGGTAGACATGTTCAAATCAAATATAGCTTTTACTGACGACATTTCGAAAGTTGAGTTATTCTTATTTCTAAAAAACATTAGACGTAAGTTCCTTTTTATTTATGTCATCATTTTGTGTTTTGGGTCTCAAGACGATTATCCAGTCAGAAAGCAGAATGAGCCTCGCACGAGTCTCTCATTTGGGTTGCCAGTTTCAGAGTCTAAATCCAGTGGGGTTAAAGACGCACTGCGCAACTTTTCTGGTGGAGGGTCCGTCACCTGCTTGTCTTCATGGAGATGTGCTTGGTTTGTCAGTGTAGATTAAATCTATTTCATGGGAGACAACTATACTCTGTAGGCTACTTTACAGGTCAGATCTGTGGAGAGGCAACCCTATTTACAGAGAGAATGATTTTTTTTTTTAATGCAACAGATACTAGTGCAGCCTATGCAGCTCAGTGAGTGATTTCTGGAGGTTCAGAGCTTTCACATGACATACATTTATGGAGTACTCTATCTGCAGGTTTAGACACTGGCATCCCAGATTCAGTTGTGATAACAGTAAGGACACACACAGGCCACATACAGGTCCATACACATTTGTTTTTTTCAAATTATTATTATTGTTTAAAGGTGCATTGTGCAACTTTTCTGGCGGGGGGTCCATCAAATGATTTCCTCCATGGAGATGGATGTTATTACACGTGGTCGAAATTAGTTTCCTATGCAGGGTAGCTGAGCACTCTCTTAAAGATAGGGTGAGGAACTCAGTAGGAGGAGCCCGGAGTAGAGCCGCTGCTCCTCCACGTCGAGAGGAGCCAGTTGAAGTGGCTCGGGCATCTGTTCCGTATTCCACCTGTGCACCTCCCTCAGAAGGAGCCCCCGAGTAAGACGCAGGACACACTAGAGGGACTATGTCTCTCAGCTGGCCTGGGACCATCTTGGGGTCCCCCCATGGAGCTGGAGGAAGTGTCCAGGGTGAGGGAAGTCTGGAAGTCCCTGCTTAGACTGCTGCCCCCGTGACCTGGCCCCGGATAACCAGAAGAAACTGGATAAACGAATGGATGTTATTGGAATGGAATGTTCCACAGTATGGCATTAAACCTTTCTATCTTCATGGAGACCAAACCAGACCAAGTTACAGGTCAGATCTGTGGAGAGATGATCCCACTCACAGTCAGAATGCATTTTCTCAAGGTATTTTTGAGATATAAAACCACCCGTAATTGAATAACCACAAGGTAGATGTGTTTAATGCCATACTGTGGAACATTCCAGACAAAGCAACATCTCATCCGCTTGACTGACCCTCCATCAGAAAAGTTACACAGTGCTGCTTTTTACGTTAACTTACAAAGTTGTGTTATTTGGCTGTGTGGCAGTAGTCTTTCTCCC